AAAAAGGACCAGAACCAGATTTGACTGAAATTAATTAAACAACTGTCAAGAACAATCTAAGTTTCACCAAGGATTGGTCACCTGTGGGCAGTTGGAAGTATAGTAATGGATGGACCATATTGACATTATTATGAATAGATAGGACTTTATTTAGAATGAGTTGTCATATGGCAAATATGGAAATGTTTCCATAAATGGGAGTTGGATATCAAGAATCTATGTCTAGATTAGAAACTTTTATGCAAGAAGGATGTTCAAAGGAATGTACTTTGAATGTAAGACTTCGTATCTATGGAATTGCCTTGTAACAATTTCCAATAGAGCACTTTGTAATATCATTGGCAAAGTCTTGATGACTTTGGTGCTGTGACATTACGAAAGGATCGTTGCATAAAATGTTAGAATCTAACATATTCTAATAGTGGCAAGAATTTGGTATTCTTACACTTATGATAAGGATTAGGAGTTGTGAAATGAGTATCGTTGGAAATGTGTTCAATTGATATATTTCACAAACTATGGACCATAGGTAAACATAGTGTGCATGCTTGGAGCATGAGACAACTGTTGTTATAATTCAAGTAATAAGTTGATTATCCGGAACATTATACAATGAATAATGTGTAATCGATATGGTGATTAAATAAAATGTGTTTTATTTATAATCAAAAGTTTGAGACCATATTGGATTCGATTATTCTTGTGTTCCACTTCGCATGTTTTGACTTCCCGAATAATAAGATTATTCAAACCATCCACAGTCGATCATACTTTGGAAGTAGGTAATGAGGTAAGACTGTCATGAATCCAACTGTTGATTGTCTACAGCGTTTTAGACATAACAAAGGTCTGCTGCAGTGTTCATGAGTGCTCCTGAAATAAGATTTGAGTATTGGATTAAACCCATGCTTACTTGAATCACTTCATGGATTTTATCACGAGTGATTAGTGACACGATAATATCTTATATTATTGAAACGGAGACACGTGAGTTGTAGTTTGCAAGTCGGTTGCACATTGATAATATGTAAACGCACCAGTAACTTGGTGTTATAAAACATATTGTTGTGTGTGATTTGATGAGTAAGTACAAGCAAGCATTTGAGTCGAAATTTATCCGTTCCTTTTACTCAGTGTGGGATAAAAGCGATATCTGTGGGCCCCTCGATGATTTAGTGATGACACCCTAAGCACTTGGCCAAGCCTGGACTAAGTTGATGTGTTCAATTGTAGTCGGTTATCAGTAGTCATAAATCGGAAATCAGAAAACAACACATGAACATAGAGTATGATTAAAATCCATGTCTCAGTTCATACGATATCTAGAATGGAGGAATATATGATCCCTTATCTAAAGGACGCGTTACTGATAAGATCAGAGTTCGACAACGGCTTTTGAAAGCTACGATTGTTGATCAGGTTCTGAAGTCGTACTTGCAAATAGTTATTAGACTTATCCAAGTGGGAGACTGTTGGATTAGGTGTCTAAGCCCATAACTATTTTGGTATGTACTTGACCCGATTATGAGCATAGCCTTTTGGGTTGCCTTCACCATAGCAACTGATAGGATGAAATAAGGAGAAAGAGGATTAATTATGATTTATTAATATATTATGTGAATAATATATTAAAAGAGAAATCATATTGTTTAATTGATATTGATCAAGAATTAATTTAGAACTAATTTTGTGGTCAAAAGAGATTAATTAAACTTGGGGGACGAATGTTGTAATTATAAGATAATTGTATTGTAGGCTGAGGAACCCTTGGAAAGGGGTTGGACGAAATCCTTATGGATAGCCCATAAGATTTCGTCCAAAGGGAGATTCTGGAAGGATCTTGTGGGCTGCTTAGAGCCTAAGCAACCAAATAGGGCTTTTGAGTGAAACCCTAATTCCTCAGCTATATAAGGAAACCCCAGGCATCCTAAAATCGATACTTGAAACCCTAGAGGGAACCCTAGACGATTTTATGCCTCCTCCTCCTTCTCCTAAGTCATCTTGTTGCTAGTGGTGTTGTGACTCCATTAGAGGTGCAACATTTGAGGCACTAAGCTTTCAAAGGTCAAGGATATTCAAGGAGAACTTGTTATTACTACATAACAAAAAAGGTAAGATCTAAATCCTACTTTATATGTCAATTTGATTGTTGTATGGTAGTTCTTAGGATTATTGCTTTGGTATTCAATGTTGTTGTGTTCATAGTAGAAAACCTAGATCAAAGCAATTAGGGTTGCATGTACACCATAGGAATGATGTAATGCTCATAACCCATCAACTTTCAGTTCAACATTGGCGTTCCTATTTACTTGGCACCACTTTTACTGTGCATACAAATCAAAAGAGTCTAAATTTTTTGCTGCAACAATGAATTACTAGTCCCGATCTGCAGAATTGGGGAGCAAAGTTGCTCGGATATGACATTGAGATACGTTATAAACCAGGCAAGGAAAATAGAGCTGCTGATGAGCACTCTGTCAAGAAGGGATGAAGATGGTGAAATAATGGCATTTGTATTGGAACCTTCATGATTACATGGAGCGGAGTTGCTGACAAAAACACATAATGATGCTGATCTACAAAGGTTAAAGACTGATTGTGAATCAAATCCTGCATCTCATCCTGGTTTTCAAGTAAAAAAATGGAGTTTTATATTATAAGGGGCGATCGATAATTTCCAGAAAATCAAAATGTATTCCCGATCTTCTGAAAGAATTCCCTAAATCAGCATCTAGGGGACACTTAGGATACTATTGCACCTATCGAAGATTAGCGGGTAACCTCTATTGGCCGGGTATGATTTAACGAGTGAAATAATATGTGAAGCCTTATGATGTCTGTCAAAGGTGTAAAGCAAGTTCAATAGCACCTGGTGGATTACTACAACCATTGGACATTCCTAAAGCCATATGGGAACATTTATCAATGATTTCGTTCTTGGCTTACCAAAATCATGGGGGTATGATGCATTGCTGGTGGTGGTTGACCAATTATCTAAGTATAGTCATTTTATATTGCTTAAACACCCCTACACTGCTAAGTCTATTGCTGAAGTGTTTGTTAAAGAAGTGATACGCTATCATGGAATCCCAAGTAAGTGATCGATACTCGTTGTTTCTCAGCCATTTTTGGCAAGAAATTTTTCGTTCTCAAGGCACTGAATTACATATGAGCTCAACATATCACCCCGGGTCCGAGGACCAAATCGAGGTTATAAATCGATGTCTTGAAACCTATTTGCGATGCTTTGCAACAGACCAACCTCGTTCGTGGTCCTTATGGATTCCATGGGCTGAGTTTTGGTACAACTCGACCTTTCACAACTCAACAGGAATATCTCCATTTGAAGCGGTCTATGGGCGGAAATCCCCATCTGTCATATAGTTCATTCTAGGGGAAATACGAGTCCAGGCGGTATTGGAAGAATTACAAGATCGAGATGAAGCTCTAAAGCAATTGAGGGCAAATCTGTTACATGCTCAAAATATTATGAAATTTAATGCCGACAAAAAAAGAAGGGATGTACATTTTGAGGAAAGGGAATGGGTATATGTTAAGTTAAAGCCTTATAGACAAATGTCTGTGGCTAATCGAATCCACCCAAAGTTGGCAGCACGTTTTTTTGGTCCTTTTCAGATCACAACTAAGATAGGACGAGTTGCATACAAGTTGGATCTCCCTCCTACATCCATAATTAATCCAATTTTTCTTGTCTCTTTGTTGAAGAAAGCCATATAAGGACCTACTGAAACCATTTTACCTCCAGAGTTAGATTTGCAGGCTAGTGACATAATTACCTCTGTTGCAATTTTGGCTACCAGAATAGTAAAAAAGCATGGAAGTGAATGTGAGCAATGGTTGATTCAATGGAAAGATGGACAATCAGAAGAAGCAACATGGGAAGATGCATTGACCATCAAAAGCCAATTTCCCGAATCAAGTCTTGAGGACAAGACTTTGTCCGAAGGGGGGAGTAATGATGCAAATTCATACTTAGGTAGTCATGATGTAAATAAACCAAGGATATGGAAAATATATTCCAAAAGGGTAAAAGGGTCAAATGAGAAAAGTGGCTGATTAGCTGGAGGAGAGAGAATGTAAGAATAAATAGAGCAGGAGGATTTTGTTAGTGGTCACTCTGTTATTTTTTTGTGCATGATTGTATTGGCTCCACACTCTTGTGTGTGTGTGAGAGGGATGTTTTCCCTGGTTGTGTTCTTTTTTGCCTGTGGTTATCAAGACATTCCTTCTTCCATTGTTATTGTGTCTCATTCACTGTTACATTACTTCATTCTTAATTTGGTGATCTTTATCATATAACTTCAGATAGTTATGGATTTTGGATTTATTAGAAATCATTTTTTGGTGTGGTGTGTATTTGTGTGTTTATGGCATGTTTATAAAGGGGTGAGGGAATAGTCGACGATAACTGTGATTTAGTTGCCGAAGGTGAAAGTGGTGGGTGGTGATTGTGCCAGAAAAGTTAGGTGGTGGTGTGCCGAAAAATATGTATGGTGAAGAAGAGGATGGAGGAGAAGGTAGGAGGAAGTGTAAGAGGTGGTGGGACCCACCAAATTATAAATTATATAATTCATTAATTTTTTTTTTAATTTCTAAATAATAAACAGATATTAAAACACTAAAAAAGAAAAGATAAATGGTAAAATAATCATTTCATGTGTACAATGGACGTAGCACATGTAACTTATAATCATATAAAAGACGGTCTGAGTTAATTTTTAAAAATAAAGACTAAACGCGCAATTTGACACTTGTATAACATACCATGGATGAATAGTGTAATTTACTCTTTAAATTATAAATCCACTATTTGAAATTTATAAATTTGCTTATTGGGTATTTCCCCTCCAAATTTGGATTAGAGGTGCAATGGAAAAATAAACATCACATTTATGAAAATTGTAAATTTGCTTATTGGATCATTTTGGTCGAAATTTGAATTAGAGATCCAATGGAGAAAAACAATTTTTTCATTGCACCTCCAATCCAATTTTTGTGACCGACTATGCTTTATACCACAGCTCTCTACGATTTATGAATGTATAAGATACATATAGTTGATACATGCTTCTTACAAGGATGGCCTCTCCCCTGGCCCTTAGATGTTTTGTTTTCTAATATTTCTTGTTCACTCATGCTTTTCGTTTATATTCTAGTATTCTGATTTATTACTAACATGGCCGGGCTTGAGGAATTAAATATCCTTAAAGGCCTGGAACGAACCAGAAAAATGGCCTTTTACTTTTTAAATAAAAATATATAAAAAAAAAATTGGACTTTGTACAACTGTTCATTTTGCACTCCCTCAACGCCCCCCATGATTACGATATTGTTTTGTTTTAATGTTCATATTGGTTTGCTCTCCATTTTGCTGATCTTTTATTTTGAATATCTACTTGACGTCCGGGGTCTGTTGCCATGTAAGAAACTGATTATGTAACAATTAACAAGTAAAGATATGAGAAAACAAAATAAGAAAAAAAAGTAGTAAACAAAAAGATAAGTGCACCTCTGTGACTAATGATGCTGCAGATTATGTAACATCTGAAATTAACTTACGAAGTTAACCCTGAAAACAAACTAGCTATAAAAGTATAAGTTAAAATGAGAAGCAAAGGAAGAAACCTATGGTCTCTGGTGGTCTGGTCAGGTGATCACGTCCTCAGCAACCCATCACAGCACAATCGTAAACAAATTGTGATTCTTGCTCCTTAACACCAAGAACATTCCAATCCAAGATACCATCTTCAATCCTAGATTTTGGACTCCAAGAATTTAGAACAATCGATGCATTCTCAAGACTTTTTTGTACATACACAACTAGAAGCCTATCCCCACAAGCCTTAAAGACTAAACTCCAACCTTCCATCGAACTGGCTTTAACCGGAAGTCTGCCCAAAACGTCCCACGTGTTCTTGTTTTTGTCATATTTCTTAACCATGCTACTCAGATAGTCAAGTGCATATAGTTCGTTACTAACAACTGCAACAAGAGGAGGTGCTTGGGCAACCTTTTTTACAATAATAGGGTACATCCCATCAATTTTCCTCCAGTGTTTCGCATTAAGATCAAACTCCTCACCACAAGTTAACGAATCAGTGCTACTTGTCATCCCTCCTATCACATAAAACTTTTTATCCATGAAAAAACTAGAGCATAATCTACGTGGAGAGTGCATATCCGGCAAAATTTCCCATCTACCAGTTGATGAATCATATAACTCGGCTGATTTTATAGTTTGTCCATTTATGTCGAACCCTCCTGCAACAATAGAAATTGATCCAAGAGTTCCAGAACCAAATAAGCAACGAGGATGATTTATCCCTTCACATCTCACCCACTGTCGTCTAATAAAACTGTACTTCCATATGACAAACCCAACCAGCTCACGCCCAAAAACCAGCAATTCACTACCCACGGCCAAAGATTCTTGCTGTGAATGTTTGAAACATTCGTCAGCCGGAATTGTAGGTAACCTTATCCACTTGTTTCTCAATGGGTAAAACCCCTCCCAAACCCCGATAGAACACAACATCAATACAAGCACGTCACTGCTTTTCTCCTGGGTTGTCTCTCCTTGTTCATAGCTACTTGATTGGATTGGGTTATTTTTTAAATCGAATGAATTAAGCTCCAACTATTTTAAACACCCACAAAAGAAAAAGAAAAAAAAATGTATAAGCAGCAATCATTGCATGAAGATGAAATACACAGAAGCAACTTTATTGCATTGAACCAATGTTATTTCGAACTAGGAAAAACATATCATATATGATTACATCGTTTAGTTGTTGCAAAACTAGGTCGTATTCTTTCTATAATTCTATTGTAAATATATAATAATATCATCCATGACTAAAATTAACTTTCATTTCTAGCACATCATCCAGATCTAGTTGTGAGCTTAAGACATATTTAGTATGGAAATTTTTGTTAGAATCAAACGATCATATTAGAATTAATACTAGCTAAACACATACATATATATGAGTGTACAGGAAAAGCATAACTTACTTGATATTCAAGCGCACTTTCAAGTATGCTTACGATGTCGGTCATTAATGGACGCTCTTCCAAGTCTCTACTCAAACACCGATAGGCTATTGTGGTGAACGCCTCTAAAGATTTAGGATTCATTTCATCCTTTATTTTACCGAAAATAATTTCCTTTATTTTGTTTTGCGAATAGTATTGACGAACCAAACCTGTTAAAGGCCGATGAATACCATTCTTGTTGCCAATACACAACCTCCCACACAACACTTCAAACAACACCACACCGAAGGAATAAACATCAGACTCTTTTGTTAATAACCCTGTTTCCATATATAGCGGATCACAATACCCGATCGTGCCTACACCGTTGGTGACGAGAAATGTGTAATCTTGGTTGGCAGGACCAAATTTGGACAAACCCAAATCTGAGATCTTGGCATTCCAGTTCTCATCTAGGAGGATGTTAGAACTCTTAATATCACGATGCAATACTCTTTGTTGGGTCCCAAAAGGATTATGAAGATACGCCAGTCCACGAGCCGCCCCGATGCAAATATTAAGTCGTTGAATCCAAATTAGATCATCTTTGTTGAGATACGAGTCAAGACTTCTCCTGGATGCATACTCGTACACAAGGATCTTCTCATCACTTTCGTCACAAAATCCTAATAGAGAAACAATATTGTCATGCTTGTAAAGAGAAAGCATAATAATTTCCCTCCAGAACTCAGGGTTTCCTTGCCCAAATACAGGATCTAATCGTTTTATCGCAACAATTTCTTTCCCCTTGTAATGAACAAGCTCTCCTTTGTATACTTTTCCAAAACCACCCCTACCTATGCAGTTTTCATTTGCGAAATTGTTGGTTGCCAACTTTATAGCTTCCAGTTGTATCTTGAGATATTCAAACTGTTGCACGAGATGCATCATTTTTGTGGTGAAAATAAAATGGATACAAAGTTAAGAGCTTTTAGGAATAGCTTGATGGGGAGAAATATAATGAAAACAAGCAACCCTTAAGCTTTCTCTTTCTCGCACACAACCGACAATGCACTTAGTAATAATTTATCTTTTTATTCATTTTGAATGGACAACCTATTATTTGACTACATTCCAAAATAATTTCTTTCGATTATTGCGCTCGATATTTTTCTTAGGTAGGATCCATACTAAAAAAAGGTTACCCCAAGTCTTTGTGCATTCTTAATCCATTGTTTTTTTTAGATATTATACAATTGTTCTAGATTTTTTTTTTATCTATACACATACCTTTTGTTGGAATCCTAAGTCGTGTAGGACTTGGAGTCCAAGTAAACTTGGAGCTTAAACAAGTTGGTTTAAGTTTCCTAGTTTTATTCTAGAAGTCGGTAGTTTAGGAATATATATATATATATATATATATATATATATATATATAGATATAGATATATATATATATATATATATATATATAATATATATATATATATATATATATATATCATATATAGAGAGAGAGAGAGAGACGAGGAGAGAGAGAGAGAGAGAGATAGAGAGAAGAGAGGAGAGAGAGAGAGAGAGAGAGAGAGAGAGTCACATCAAATAAGAAGGAAATTTTTGGTAGGAAGGTAAGAAGTTTTTTTCTACATATTTTTCGCGAACAAACAAAATGAATCATTAGATGATTCAATTGTAAGATGATTCACAAGAAAAAATTCCTAAAAAAATATCTTGATGATTCATTTATACAATGATTTTGTTGTTATTCACTAAAATTGTCATAAAAGTGAATTTTTTCTTAATTTACTTAAAAATAAATCATAAAGATGTTTTTTTGGGAATTTTTTCTTGTGAATCATCTTACAAATGAATCATCTAGTGATTCATTTATTTTGTTAAAAAAATATATAGAAAAAAAACTTCTTACCTTCCTACCAAAAAAATTTCTTACCGGATCTATATATATATATATATATATATATATATATATATATATATATATATATATATATATATATATATATATCGAGACATAATATTATGTAGAAAACAATATTGAGTTTTTAGAGTTATATTTTCTCAATAAAATTGGAGAGTTATTCCACTTTGTTTTGTGCTATTTTGATTTGAATTGGTATCAGAGCTTGAGTTAAGAAGTTGTGAGATCAAATTACTTACCTGTTGACAAGCAAGGTCAACATGGCTGATGCAGGGGGCGACGGAGGACCTGCTCCGGTGACTGTGATTATGTGAAAGAAACCGGATCGACTTTAGTTCAATGTCCCATGCTCAATTCCACAAATTACACAGTTTGGTCCCTGCGTATGAAGGTTGTCTTAAGAATTCATAAAGCATGGAGTGTAATTGACCCTGGAACAGAAGAGAATGAAGAGAAAAACTACCTGTCAATGAGGCTTTTGTATCAGGCAATCCCTGAATCCTTGATTATGTAGATCGGTGATGTGGATTCAACAAAAGTACTCTGGGATGCGATTAAAGCTCGTCATGTTGGGGCCGATCGTGTGAAGGAAGCTCGCCTGCAAACCCTAACCACCGAGTTCGATTGACTCAAGATGTTAGGGTTGGAGTCAGATGACGCGTATGCCGTAAAATTGTTCGGTATCGCCTCGAAATCAGCAGCCCTCAGAGAAACCATTGATGAATCCAAGTTGGTAAAGAAGTTTATGAAAACTCTACCCCGATCGAAATTCATCGAAATCGTTGCCTCTCTTGAACAAGTCTTGGACATGAAGACGGTGGGATTTGAAGATATCGTCGGAAGGCTCAAGGCTTACGAAGAGAGAATTAGGGAAGAGGATATAAGTGAGGCAGAACAGTCGAAGGTAATGTTTGCGAAGAAGACGACTGGTTCTCATAGTGGAGCGAAAGGAAATTGGAAGGGACGAGTGGATCAAATGGGCACTATTAGACAAACGGGTCAATTGGTTCAAATGGACACGGGTCAAGTGATTCAACCCAATGCAAATCCAAATGGCCCAATAATACTAGCCAAAATTCAAATAAACCCAACAACACTAATGACCAAAACTAGAAGAATAAGAATAAGAAGGATCGTTCAAAAATTATCTGTTATCGGTGCGATAAGCCGGGTCACTTCGCGTCTCAATGTCCGGACCGAATTAAAAAATTACAAGAGCGTAATTTTAATGAATTTGACGATACCGATGCGGCTGTATTTTTACACGAGACCGTGTTTTTGAATGAAGAGAAGGTGATACCGTCTTGATACGACTCACAAGACAACGATGTGTGTTATTTGGATAACGGGGCGAGCAATCACATGACGGGAAACCGGTCATTTTTCTCCGAGCTTGATGAAGGTATAACCGGGAGAAATTTCGTGTGTAAAAATCAAGGAAAAAGGTGCTATACTTTTCCGAGGCAAAATGGGTCAACAAAGGCTGATGACGGAGATTTACTACATACCGGATCTCAAGAACAATATTATTAGACTCGGACAAGCAACTGAAGCCGGGTGTGATATTCGAATGAAAGATAACTATTTGACCATGCACGATGCCGATAATTGCTTATTAATGAAGGTACAAAGAACTCCAAACCGCCTTTATAAAATAAAATTACAAATTGGAGTTCCTATTTGCCTTCATTCGAGACTAAGTGAAGATACATGGCGATGACATGCAAGACTTGGGCACATCAATTTCGAGTCAATAAAAAAGATGTCCAAAAAGGGTCTAGTCAAAGGGTTACCCCAATTTGATCATGATAATCAATTGTGTGAGTCTTGCTTGGTGGGCAAGCAAACAAGAAAGTCATTCCCGACTATGACGACATACAAAGCAAAATAACCATTGGAACTAGTTCACGGTGATTTATGCGGTCCGATCACGCCGGCAACCAAGGGTCAAAATAGGTATATTTTTACACTAATTGATGATTTTTCACGATTTATGTGGATTTATCTCATAAAAGAAAAGAGTGAGGCGTTTACACACTTCAAAAAATTCAAAGCTTTGGTGGAGAATGAAATCGGAAAGCCTTTGAAAGTGTTTAGAAGTGATCGAGGAGGTGAGTTTACTTCTCTCGAATTTAATTCTTTTTGTGATCAAAACGGAGTCAAATGCCACCTTACCGCCCCATACTCTCCACAACAAAACGGAATTATGGAACGAAGAAACCAAACACTAATGGACATGACACGAAGTATAATGAAGGCAATGCATGTTCCAAACTACTTATGGGGAGAAGCGGTAAATCACTCTACAAATCTAATCAATCGAGATTACACAAGAGTCCTTGGTGATACAACTCCATACGAAAAGTTGTATAAAAGAAAACCGAATTTAGAAAATGTTCGAATATTTGGGTGTCTAGCACATGCAAAAGTTGAACCGGTTAATCTAAAGAAGTTGGATGCAAGATCAAGACCACTAGTGCATGTTGGTTCCAAACCGGGTACGAAAGCTTATCGATTATTTAACCCGGTAACACAAAAAATAATCGTGAGTCGAGTCGTTATTTTTGATGAAACCAAAGGGTGGGATTGGATTAAAGAAGCAGGAACCAACAATGAAGAACCAGGCTCATTCATAATACCATGGGACTATCCGAGAGACGAGGCGGACAACACCAAGGAAACGATGTAAACAACGATCCAATTGAACCCATTGAATCGGATCACGAGATTGGAGCGGAAGTACAAGATAATGAACAACCAAGTCCGGTAAATAATAATGTTCAACAAGGAGCTGCAAATCAAAGACCCTCGAGAACAAGAGTGCCTCCAAGACGATTTCAAGATTATGAGCTTGATCTTGATAATCTCGAAGAACTTCTTTTTACAACCAATGACGAGCCGATATCTGTTGAAGAAGCAAAGAAAGAACCAGAGTGGGTCAAAGCCATGGATGTTGAAATTAATTCGATAAACAAGAATAATACTTGGACTCTCGTGAACAAGCCTATGGGGGTGAAACCGATTGGACTCAAGTGGGTGTTCAAATTAAAGAAAAATGCAGATGGCACAATTAATAAATACAAGACAAGGTTGGTTGCTAAAGGTTACGTGCAACAACCCGGTATTAACTTTCAAGAAGTATTTTCCCCGGTAGCTCGAATCGAAACCATTCGGTTTCTTATAGCCTTAGCCGCAACTCATGGGTGGGAGCTTCACCACTTGGATGTTAAAATGGCGTTCTTACATGGAGAATTAAAGGAAACCGTTTACGTATCGCAACCGGAAGGTTATATAAAGAAATGTAACAAATATAAAGTATATCGCCTTACAAAAGCACTATATGGTTTAAGACAAGCACCTCGAGCATGGAACACGAAGCTTGATGGGATTTTGAAGAGTATGAAATTTCAAAAGTGCATGAAAGAACCATCGATGTACCGGAAAAGTGAAGGATCTAACTTGCTAATTTTAGCAATTTATGTTGATGATTTATTTGTTACATGTACAAATTTGAGCATGATCAAGAGGTTCAAAATAGAGATGTCCAAGAACTTTGAGATGCCGGATCTTGGAATATTGACTTATTACCTTAGCATTGAAGTTAAGCAAGAGGAATTGGGGATTACTATAAACCAAGAAGCATATGCTCAACGCATTCTAAACGAAGCTGGTTTACAAGATTGCAATCCGACCCACATTCCAATGGAACCGGGAAATAAATTGTCAAAGGCCGAAGATGAACCCGAAATCGACCCGACACAATATCGAAAGGTGGTAGGATGTCTTAGATATCTCTTTCAAACAAGACCCGATATGGCATATGCAGTTGGAGTTGTCAGCCGATACATGCAAAGTCCAAGAGAATCACATGGTTCAATCAAACACATTCTAAGGTACTTACGAGGAACAACGGGATACGGAATCAAGTACGAGAGGATGGGACAAAGGCGACTTATTGGTTATAGTGATAGTAGCCACAATGTTGACCCGGATGACGGAAAAAGCACAACCGGTCACATTTTCTATTACAGGTCATCTCCAATTACATGGTGTTCGCAAAAGCAA